AGATTCGCGATGAGAGATTAAGTGTTTGTTAATTAAAGATTCAAAAACCTTGCTTATGATAGGAAGAAGACTAATGGGATGGTAGTTAGATGAGTCAGATCGCTCTCCAGAATTTTTAAAAGAAGGGATAATAGATGCTGCTTTCCAGCAGGCTGGAAAACAAGACTCTGATAAGCACTTGTTGAATAGTTTTGAAAAGATAGACGACAGCTCAGGAGAACACTTCTGCAAGACTATAACAGGTATGTTGTCCGGGCCGCAAGCTGTAGAAGAGTCTAAGCGGGAAATCACTTTAGATACAGAAGCTGGAGTGATACGAATGTCGAGCAATGGATCAACCTGTTTGACGGGTATATCAGGTAAAACGCAACTAGTGGCATCAAGAGATGATATTGATGAAAAGTTCTTGACAAACAATTCAGCTTTGTCTTTAGGTGAGGTGACAAAGTCTGAACCGTACAAAAGAGGTGGAATTACAGACTTGCCCTTATTATTGATACTATTAAAGATTCTCCAGAAGTCACGAGAGCCTAATTTTTGTGATGAAATACAAGATTTCATGATCTGAGAATAGCGGGTTTTGGCGTTAGACAAAACCTTTTTACAATGGTTCCTAACAGTAATAAAGAGACGTCTGTTTTCTGAAGAATTGTTTTGCTGATAGATATGGAAGTAATGGTTTCGATTGGCAATTGCAGCAGCACAATGTGAGGAAAACCATGGAGAAGAGTGATACTTGACCTGGAATTGTCGAGAGGGAATAAAGGATTCCATGTTAGCCTAAATCCACAAAGTTATGTAAGAAGCACATTTGTAAACAGGGAGACGAAAGATTTCTACCCAGGGGCCATCACGAAGAAAGTCACGAAAAGAGTCCCAGTCAGCTTTAAGGTAGTTGTAAGATGTACGATGATAGGGGGATTCTAATGGTAAAGAAGAATGAGATAATAGTTTTAGAGAGACCAAACCATGATCAGACGCACCTAAGGGTGAGTGTGAAGAAACTGAACACTGACTAGGATCAAAAACAAGACATAAGTCGAGTAGAGAAGGTAAATGATTCGGGTTGTCTGGAAAGCGAGTTGGAAAGTTGACTATTTGAGTTAGGGATTGAGAAAGACAAAAGTTGTGGGCCTTAATGCCTGCAGAGTCACTGACACTAGAGCCAAGCCATTCAGTGTGATGAACATTAAAGTCACCGACAACAACAATATTGGCTCATGGATAAAGAATGAGGGCTTGGTCAATATAATCAGAAATAACATCAAGAAGAGTGCAGTCTTGGGATGAGGGAGAGCGATATAGAACAAAGAGAAAGGTGGTAGAGTGAAGTGGTGCTAAACGAAAGCACATAAAAGAGTAGTCTGTGGATTCAAACCTGGTTTCCCGACAAATGAGTGAATTCTTACGAATGTAAATGCCCAGGCCAAGCATGTGACTATTGGAGTCTTTACAAATTAAAGGAAGATAACCATCAACACTAAGATCACAAGAAAAGACAGCTGAACTCAAATTAGTCTCACAAAGAGCAAGCAGGTCTGGTGAACTTTGCAAGAAATAAGACTCAACAGAAGAAAAGTTACTTCGAAGACCACGAATATTGGTGAATGATAGGTTTAGCAAACTTGGTGATGACTGTGGTTTTTTGTGTTTTATAGTTTTTGTTACTTTATTCATTTTTAAATTTGTTAAAGAACTTGACTCGAAACATTGATAGTACTCAGTACACTGTTCTATAGCTCAAGCAATTGCCTCATTTCCACTAATAAACCCTAAGCCGTAACAAAGGGCTCCAATGTGGCCTTGGCAATGCACACCAAAAGTACAAACAGGGACACCATCCATGCGCAACATGGCACTGTTAGTACTCTGATATTTTTCAGCTCTTGATGGAATCAGCCTCTCTGAGAGCTACCACAGAGTTCGGGAAACCTGACTACCAGCCGGCCTCAGAACCATAAAACTGAGTTTTAGAGCTGTACCCTCATTTGGAGATAATAGAATGAGTTGCCTAGTCTTAAAAACAGAGACACAAGCAAAACCCATGAATCGAGTCAAGAAGATCCAGCGTTCAACATACTAAACTGGAAACAATGTATTAAAAATACATCTGCGCCAGCCTAATAGATGAAGAAGGGGTGCGAGGCTGGTCAACAGATAGAATCTGTTTACCCCTTAAGTCTTGGCCTAGGAGGCCTTCTACAAGACAGCAGCCGAATGCATGTAACATCTGCCCAAGATGAGTATTTTTATCGAGACACCATCTCTAGCCTTTACTCAACCAAGAGCCCCAAGGCAGGGGGTGTTTTATGTCGGAGTTTGCATCTCCTAGCCTTTGCCTAAAAAGGCATATCCTACAAGGCAGCAGGACATGAAGCAGATTGTACTGGGTTACATGTTACCAGTAGCAGGATAAACCTGACCTGACTGATAGTAGCAGTAGCAGGATAAACCTGACCTGACCTGACAGTTACTAGAAGAGAAAAGATAAAGTTTATAAAGCAAGATAATATTTGACAGACAATGAATACTAGTGAATGATAGGTTTAGAGAACTTGGTGATGACGGTGATTTTTTGTGTTTTATTGTTTTTGGTACTTTATTCATTTTAAAATTTGTTAAAGAACTTTACTCAAAGCATAGACAGTACTTAGTACACTATTTATTAGCCCAAGCAATTGCCTCATACCTTTGTTACAGCCCTAAGCTGTAACAAAGGGCTCCAAATGTGGCTCCAAATGCATGCCAAAAGTACAAACAGTGACACCATCTATCTGCAACATGGCACTGTTAATACTTTGATATTTTTCAGCTGTTGATGGAATTAGCCTCTCTGAGAACTACCACAGAGTTCAAGAAACCTGACTACCAGCCAGCCTCAGAACCATAAAACTGAGTTTTAGAGCTGTACCCTCATTAGGAGATAATAGAATGAGTTGTCTAGTAATAAAAACAGGAACACAAGCAAAACCCTTGCATTAAGTCAAGAAGATCCAGCATTCAACATAGAAATAGTTTATTAAAAATACATCTTTGCCTCTTTTTGTCACTCTCTTAACTAGTTCTTAAATGAATCTTGTTTTCTTTCCTGCTGGAATAAGGTATATCTGACCCCTTTAACCAATTCCCAGTTTTAAAGTGTTAGAAGTATTTTAAATTTCTTAATATTATTACAATCATTGAATCTGGGACACACTTATAGTAGATGGACAACTTTTCCTGTAACTTTTGGAGTACTACAAAAATTCATCTTTGGTTTCTTATCTATATTAATAATGTTCCTGATAATTCATCTTTAATGTGACTTTTTTTTGCTGATAATGAAATTCTTCTCATTGAACAAGCAGTGATTTTGAATCTTTTCTTCTGTGACAGCTTTGGAGTTCGTGTCTAGCAAAATTTAGTTGTTTACTACTGATAATATTATATATTTCAGCCCTACTATCAAAAAACTTGTGTAAAAAATTGCTTAAAATCTTTGCTTTATCAAAATGAATAATAATGACAAATTAGAAAAAGGCATTCATTTTCCAATTGTTAACAATCATACAAGAAGTCACTGTTTTAAATATTCCAAGGAAATGACAAAACATAAGCACAGAAAAAACTTCTTTAATCGAGTAGCGAATTTATGGAACTCTCTGCCAGATGTTGTCAAATCACCATCAATCAACAGCTTTAAAGCAGCAATCAATCATTTCGGCTGTCAAAGTGCACCTGATAACGCACTCACTGGCTCTGCCAGTTACTGTGTTTACTACTAACTAATATTATTATAATAACACTTTTGCTGAGTCTTTTTACTTAATGTCTTTTCAGATTATCATTCATTAATGACTTCTCATGGAAATCATATTTACAATTCATTGCAAAATTATTATCTGCTAAGGCTGCTTCTCTTTGTTTCCTACTCCTTTTTCTGTTCTCTACTTCTATAAGTCTCTTATTAGCCCTTGTGTAGACTATATATTGGTTTTGTGTATGCTGTTATCATATTTAAACTGCTTTTAATCAAGTCCTTTTTCTTTTAAACAAGTTCAGAAAAATTGCTTTTTAACTCTAAATTGTCAACTTCCAACTTAGTAGTTGCCTGCAGCTTTGTTAAGGATGAATTTGATAAAAAAATTTTAGCAACTATCTACAATATTGCGTTTTTGTAAAAAGGAGCAGGTTTAAAAAAGTATATTGGAAGAGTTGGATAATCCATTTTTAATAGAGGTCTATAACTGTTTTAAAATTTACTTTACTTGGGATATATACTTTTCTTGGGTGGTTGGAACTAACTTGGATTCAATTTAGCAATTTCAGGTTTGTGGTAAAACTGGAAACTACAGTTGCTAATCTAATGTCAAGGTAATTAGGGAGATAATCAGAGATTTTCATATTGAGCAAAAACACTAAGTATGAAAAAGAATTTCAATAAGCTTTTATACTTCTGCATCATTAAACACTCCTTTGGTAACATCAAACAAAGCAACTAATTTTTTTAATTCAAATTTTGTCATCATTGTAGAGATAACAAGGTTTACATGCATGGTAAATCACAAATTTGAGTTTTTTATGATAGTAACATACTGCCCAGCAAAGCAAATAGAGTCAGTATAAAGCTTTTCTAATATAGAAAGGTAGAAGTCAACAATGTCATAAATGAGGAAATGATAAAAATGCTTTTCTTTAATATTTTTAAACCAATTTAATATATCCTGTGATAATTCCACAAGTTTATACACGCATATCTCTTGGTTTATACAAATCTCATTTTTGTAGCATTAAAACAAATGCAAAGTTGTTTGAAAAGTTGCTCTTTGAATAAAACAGTTGGAAGATTCAATTTATAGGTTTTGCAATGTAATATATTTAGGCTATAAAACTTATTGTTAATATTACCATAAATTTTATTAATACTCTGAGCTTACTTTTTCATGTAGAATAAAGCTTTTCACCTCTTTTGATCAAAACATCAGTTTTTTTAAGTAGTACAAAATGTTTTTTTTTTATAGTCAAATGTAAAAAAAAGAAAAGCTTCATCTCCTGAGCCTAATGGAAAGAAGAAGAAAAAATCTTTGAAAAATAAAGATGAACTTGAGTGAGATATAATTTTTTTTATATACTTATTTATACACTATGTAAACATTAGCAGCAAGTGACAAATCTTAATTGTTTAGCAATAAATTTTTTTAAGGAAGATTAAATTAAAATAGTTAATTTATTACTTTTTAATCATTTTAAATTGATTTATTACCCTAAAATATGCAAATATTTCTGTTTTAGAGAAAATGATTCAACTTTGCAGCTACCTGATCCAGAGCCTGTACCTCAAGTGAGTTTTTTTAATAAATGCGTGTGTGTATGTGTGTTTATATATATACACATACACACATTTATATGTGTGTGTGTATATATATATATATATATATATATATATATATATATATATATATATATATATATATATATATATATATATATATATATATATATATCAGATCAGAGATGCAGAGTCCCGAAAGGACTCCTGCTTTATATCTTTATTTTTTCATGGTCTTTGGTGTCTAGATGTTTTAAACATGTTGGTTAATTTCTGATCTGCTATAAGAGAAAGGTTCATGATATTTAATGACTTGGAACTTATTATTTTTAAGACCAGAGTTCTTGTTGTCTCTGTTGTCATTATACCTAAGGACTCCAGGGTTCATAAATTGATTCATCTAAAAGTCTTGATTAAGTAGTCTATAAGCTTTTTTATATTATTAAAGCTCCTGGATATCAAAAACTAGGAAGAAGTAATCTTTTTCAGACTTTCAAATCTGGAGTTTTTTTTTTTGGAATCTGCATCCCTGATACATACCCACACATATATATATAGACCTGCTGGAATTGTCTGCCTTTATTGTGCTTACCATTCTCTTACTCCTGATATTATTCTCTGCCTCTATAAATTATTTATCTTTTGTTCACCCATTTATTGAATACTGTTGTCATTTTTTGGCTGTTGTTGGACCTGATTTAGCTGCCAAGCGAAAGTTTCTGCACTATTGTTGTAAGGTTGTATCTCTTGTTCTTTATAAATAAAAATGTGATCATGGTCACTTGGGTATGTCATACTTTTAAAAAGATTTTAATTAAAAAAAAACAAATTAGGGAGTAATTTTATTATGTGGTAGGTATTTCTAAGCAGCATTAAAATAAATTTTATTTTTTTTAAATTGGGGGAGGGGGTGTAAAAATGAACTTAAAAATTGCAATAATTAAGTAAATTATGTTAATATGAAAACAATGAATAACAATTAAAAGAATAAAAAATAATTTAAAAAAGTATGTTTTATGTTTCACATGAAATCCTTAGTTAACTCAAAACTTAAAGATTATGTCAAAAGAGAATGTTTTGCAAAAAATGGCACCAATTTAAGTATGGAAACAAAAACACCTTTGCTCATGCATGTATTGTTCAATGCAAAAACACAGTTTGCTTGTGCATGTAAGCTTATGCTCTCATGCATGAGATGAACAAAATAGTTTTACTTATACTTCATATTCATATTCAGAATTTAAATTTCATTTAATAATCTTTTGGAGTTCGAAAGTTATGACCATGTAAACTTCCATCCTTTCTAAAACAAGGAGGTTGCAAATTTTTCATGATCATAACTTATGAACACTAAAAGAGTGTTTTATGAAATTTAAAACATGCAGATGAATTGCCTGATATTGTTATACGTAAAACATCTATATTTTCTGTGGACACACGTTTTGAACAGACTTTCTAACAGAATTCTTTACTTTGACTGTTTGTCCTCTTAATAAATAAAGAAGTTTGATTAGATGATGGATGAATTATATTGATGAACTATAGTTTGATAAATTTCTCTAGGAACTATCCAGGTATATAGTCCGATTCCAGCTTCTTTAGCTGGTTTATTTGGACCCTTCGAAGGTGTGTAATTGGTCATATAGTTTTTTTAGTTGTGTAATGGGGTCAAATAGCTTTTAACTTCGGAAGTAACGTTTTGTTTTCTAGCTTTTCTATTCTTCGGCAAAACGTATTTGTAATTGAATCTTCAATCAAAATTTGAGTAGGATCTTTGCTTCCATCTACAAATATGCCTTTGATAGGAACTTCATCAATAATTTGTTTTTCTGACAAAACTTTAGTTTTAACCATAACCTCTTGTCTGGCTCTCCAAATTTTTTTATGATCACATGCTAAATTATCCATTTTTGGAATTAAGTAATTAGATTTAATCAAATCTTGAAGGAAAGCATATACAATTGCAGATGTAGCAGCAGGAGATATGTTTAATTGAAGAGATGTTAGTGTTAATTGATGGATCTTCATGTTCTGTTTAATAGTAATGATAATAGTAAGTAAAGTTTTTTGTTTGGAGCTGTCTTTTGAGGATATTTCTTCCTTAATATTTTCAGGTGACGTTTCTTCATTAAAGTTATACCCAACTGATTTTTAAACTTCATCTTCAACGTTTTCTATTAGAACCTGTGTATTTATATGGGGTTTTTTGATCAAATTCTTGATATCGCAGGCATTAAATCTACAACTAACCCAAAACAAATAACAAGTACTAAGTAAATTTGTTCTATAATTATAGATTACAATTATAAATGAACTTAGTTAATAAAAAATTTAGAAGCTATTAGTTAAGTTTTGTTAATTTTTTGTTGTTGTAAAGATGCAGTTTTTACTGCTTTTTTAATTATTTTTTTTTACACAAAAAAGAAAAATAATTTTTATTTTTTTCTTACTGAATATAGCTTAGCTTACCCCAACCCAATTTTTTATTATGACGTATCTTAATGGTCACACAATTTATCATCACTATATCAACTTAAATTCTGTCTAGAGCCAATTATTCAGCAACGTTACATTCTTTTACTGTTACTGTTCCTTCGTGTTAAAAAAGCATTTATCTGTTTTTTTTTTCCTTGAACATTGTGCTTTAAAATTCTCTACCACCTTCATTAAAATTCTCTACCACCTGCATTAAAATTCTCTACCACCTTTATTATTTTCTGGCTTATACAGTTTACAGTTTTTTACGTTTTGTACTTTTGTATTATAACGACAGTGTAAAGTTGAATTTTATATCTTATAATTGTATTTTTCTATTATAGACTGTTATGATGCCTGTGGATGAATCTCAATTATGTAATTATTTATATATTATTAATATTATATATTATACCACTGCGTTATTATATACATGTTTTTTTTGTTATGTTATCATTAATATGTTTATTAGAATTGTATTTAAAATTTTTTGTGGTGTTGAATGTATTTGTATGTTTTGTGTGGTTTTTCTTTATTAGCTCTTATTTCAAAAACTAATGTTGTATTGGATATATCAGATAACATTCCCAGAGAAAAAGGTTTGTCCATAAAGTATTGATTGTTAAAATTGTTGAGACTTTAATAAAAAAAAAACTGAGCTCCAATAACTGTTAATATAAACTTGTTGATAAGTTTTTATAGTTAATCTGTATTTATATAAAGGCTGTTTATATTTTATTGTATTTATCTTTTCATTGCAAGTATCTGTGTAGATTATTATTGTACATACCTTTAGATTTTTATAGGGCTAACATTTTTATTGCATTAACATTTTTAACCCAAATACTTAAGTAATAAACAATTATTTGAGTAACATTTTAAATTAAATAATAACAACTTAATTTAATAAAAAGAAGGAAAAAATTAATACTGTCATAATAATGATAGTATAAATATTATCTTAAATAATAAAGTTTTTTTTTTAATTTTAAAATTTTTTTACCACCAGATCAGTTCACAGATCTTAGCAACAATCGTGATCTTAGCAACAATCGCGATCTTAGCAACAAAGAAAGAAATTTAGAAGTTAGTAAAATATTTGTTGTTTTTATTGTCTTGACATTTATTATTTTTAACTTACTTTGTATGCATTTATATATATGCATTTATATATATATATATATTTGTATTTTTTTTTGTATGCATTTATATATATATATATATATATATATATATATATATATATATATATATATATATATATATATATATATATATATATATATATATATATATATTTGTATAGACTGTTTTGTTTTTTTTTTACTATAATTTTTTTTTTTAAGTTTTTTTCTTATTTATAACAGAATATTTTTATTCTTCTGTGTTATTTTTTTTTTTTTAATGTGCTTTTTTTATATATATTCTTGATTGTTTTTTGTTTTTTGCTTGCTTTTAATTTTTTCTTGTTGTTTTTGTGAGTGTTTTTAAATCTTTCTTATTTCTAATTTTTCTTTTAAAACTTGTTCTATTATTAAAGTATATGTACAGTTTCAAAGTTTTGATTACTAGAACTCAGAAAAAACAAATGAAAATGGTAAATACTTAGAAAATGATTCTGAAATCCCACATGATGATAACGTACCTGAGCAAACTAGACACATTGTAATTCCAAGCTATGCTGCTTGGTTTAATTACAATAGGTAGGATTTAATTATTTTTTGAATACTATAACTGATTTACTCATTAAGAATTAATTAAAATAGGTGATTTAGTTTTTAAATTGTATTTACAAAAGGTGATTTACTTTTTAAATTTTAATTACAATAGGTGATTTACTCTTTAAGGTTTAATTACAATTTTTAATTTTAAATTTTATTACAACTCAAAAACAACTAATTTCAAAGCTCATAGCTTTGAAAACAGTTGTTTATCAGTTTATACTTTCACACCAAATTATATGAAACATTTTAAATTGAAAATTTTGCATTAGACATTTTGTAATAAAAAAAAAGATTATTTGCATTCAGTTTCAACTATACAAATAAATATAAATAAATAATAATTTATTATAAATAAGTTAATACTATTTAGACAGCTTAATATAAAGTGTGCATAAGTGTGCATACATAAGTGTACGTATACTTGAGTGTACATACACAAGAAAATGGAGTTAAGTAAAACCTAAGAAAATGTAAATTGTAAATTTCAAGTTTTTAATATCAAAAATAAAAATCTGTAAAAACTGTTCATAATGTTGTTTAACTTGTTTTCTTAGAAATTTTTTTATTTAGATCAAAGTGCTTAAATTAAATAAAGAAAATATTATAATTTTTTTTTAGAGCATTTTTAATTCTATTTTAAAATTGATGTTTTTTTGTTTTTTTTAAGTATTCATGCTATTGAGCGGAGAGCACTTCCAGAGTATTTTAATGGAAAGAACAAGTCAAAAACTCCAGAAATGTAAACTTTTAAATTAGATTTTTTGAAAATATATTTTCTTATAAAAACTTTTAACTGATTGGTATTGATTTTCGAATTTTTTATACAGCTATATAGCTTATCGTAATTTTATGATTGACTCATACCGCTTGAATCCAACAGAGTATTTGACTGCTACTGCTTGCAGGAGAAATTTAGCAGGCGACGTATGTGCTATTACAAGGTTTTCTTTTATTTTTTTGTTATAAGATTTTGATTAATTACAGCTTTATTAAAATTAATTTATTCTGTTTTTAATTTTAAGAGTGCATGCTTTTTTGGAACAATGGGGATTAATTAACTACCAAGTAGACTCAGATAGTCGTCCTCTTCCAATGGGACCTCCTCCAACTTCACACTTTCATGCCTTGGCTGATACTCCATCTGGTCTGCAACCATTGCAACCTGCAAAGTCACTTGTAAGTGTTGTTAAATTTTGGTTTAATTAACCATGTTTCTATTGAACAATATAAAATAAATTTTGATTTAATTAGATCATTCCTTTAAAATCAAAACTAATCTTTTTGATTTACAGGTTTCTGCATCACAACAGTTAATAAATCTTGCAGACAAGAAAGATGAAGCAGATGAAGAAAAACACTCAGACAATAATTTTGGGTATTAATAATGTGTTAATTTTTTTTTTATATAGATGTTGTTTCCTTCATGTCAAAATTTGAAAAAAACCTTTCTACCATAAGATTTTTAAAATCTCTAAAAAAAAAACCACTTAAGTTTTGCTATAAACTTAATATATAATAACTTATTGTATGTATTTATAAAATAAAATTTCTCTAAAATGTTTTTGAAAAATGAGAAATTAAAATAAAGTTTAAGAACTTAAAAAACTTTTAAGAAGAATTTTAACTTTTAAAATAAATTTTTAGTAGAATCAAAACTAATGTCATTAATGTCAACTAGTTGTCATCTCAACTAAGATCTGTAATAAACGATCTTAGTTGAGATGACCCTTACTGCATTTACCTGTTTTAAGTTGTAAAGGCACACTGAATTTTGATCTTTTTTTTTTTTTTTTTTTTTTTTTTTTTTTTTTTTTTTTTTTTTTTGCATCTTTTGTGATGGATGTACTCTAGATGAACTAAATAGAACTAAATAACTTCATAGTGGAGTTGTTTTGTTTTTTTTTAATTCACCTCCTCAAGGCCGAGAAGGCCACTACAGACGAGGAGGCTACTTATTTGTGGCTATAACCCTCTCTCAACTCTATAACTCCGAAACACGAACCTTGACGAACAAGGCCGCTGCGCGGAGAAACGAGTTGAGTTACAATGTTTATGCATCCGAGAAAATTCACTCTGATGCTGCAGAAGATGTTAGATCTCAAAGCATAATACAAGTAACTTTAGACTAACGTGGATATCAATGGGCATTTGATTCTAGCATAGAACATTTGTATCATTTTTCAATTAAAAGAGGTTTCTCTTTAGCTTTAACTGTTGGGTGTGTTTCTTTTAATTAATTTCTGTTGATTTCATAAAAGCAAAGTTTCGGAAAATGTTTTGCACTTTATGGGAAGCTTTCTCCAAAATATCTGTTGTCTCTATTACTCCAAAATATCTGTTGTCTCCATTTGGCGAGCAATCTTGGGTGGGTTTTAAAGTAGAGAGAAAAGTGCTTTTGTTTTTCTGAACCAAATTTGTTGTTATTGTATAACATAAAATGTTAAAATATTTTTTTCTTTTTTTTTTAGATATTGATATTTTATTGTGAAGATAAATTGCAAAACATTATTTGTTATTTATTATAATATTACAATAATATAGATAAATCCGCAAAGTCTACATATATCAAATGATATAGCATTCTGCTGTGTCTATAACTATATCAGTTGATGTATATAAACCTTGTTGTGCTTGCACCTATATCAGTTAATGTATATACACTAGGATATATAGAAAATGTATGTGAAACAAAAAAATAAATTCAATTTTGAAAAAATATATACTTTAAGCTGCTTATTTTACCCTTGAACTACTTTTTTTGGACTTTGTAAAAAAGGTTATTGTAAACAAAAATGTAAACCTGTATGCAAGTTTTTCAAAATTTAGTTCAACAGTTATTTTTTAAATACTCTCCTTTTATAGCGTTTTATAGTGTTTTTTGGGGTAAGGTATAAATGATGAGTTGTTTATTATCAACTGTGTGTAATTGTATTAACAAAGTGTAAAATTTACAGTTGATGTTATTAGATTTAATACTTTCCCAATACTTTATAATTAGATATATAATATATACTCGGTGTAATATATTTTAGATAAAAGTGCTTAACTTTTAAAAAAAAAGAGCAGTTCTATATTTTTAAAAAATGACTTATTCTTCTTTAGTAGATAGAGTAATAGCAAAATTAAAGTTGCAATTTTTGAATCAAAATATTTCTAAAAGTTGTTTTATTATTTTAGTAATAAAACAACAAATAATAAAATTATAAAGTTTTTATTTTTTTGAATAATTAAATTTAAGGCGTGAAATACCCCAAAAACCAGAAACAAATTAGCTTGTCAACTAGGTAAACTTGATTGGATTTCTTTCATCAAAACTCCCAATTTCCAAAGAATCAAAATATAATCAAAAATAAACCAGAAGATTGTGAATCAACTATTATTATATTTTTATTATTAGTTCAAGATATTAATTATTTTTAGTTCATTAATTTGAATCTTCAAAGATTACAACAAACATAAGCTTATTAGTTATTTATTAGTTCATTAACTGGAATCTTCGAAGATTACAATCAATCATAATTAAAAATAATCAGCAAACATAAGCTTATTTATTAGTTCGTTAGTTGGAATCTTTGAAGATTACAACAAACATAAGCTTATTTATTAGTTCGTTAGTTGGAATCTTTGAAGATTACAACAAGAGTTAAAAAAAAATCACAAAAAGAATATTTTATGGTGAAAAATAGTAGCTTATATATATATTTTGTAGCTTATATTTTTATATTTTATAAATATATATACTATGAATTAAATTTATTTTCATGTTTTGCATTCTAATTTCTAAAATTAAAATCGATAATATGTATGTACGCAATTTCATAACATATTTTGCGTGCTTTAATTTTCTCTCAGCTACCTAAGTATGAATGCCTATTTAATGTCCTAAGTATGAAATTTAATTTTGAATTGTTAAGATACACAGAAATGGGTTGAAAAGCAATAAGGGAAGCAACAAAGCGGCAAATAGTAAATATGAAGGATGGCTTCATGATCATAATTTAAAAATATTAAGAATATTTAAAGTTTCAGAGAATGGCATCAGAAATACTCTGATGTTTAAACTACTGATGACATCAAACTCCATGCAGGATCCAGAGGGTTAAAAAAAATTATGGAATACAGAAGCAGTCTTTTTTAAGAAAAAAGTCCAAGGTTATTTTTTATGATAATCATTTTCATTCACATTTAATGAAAATCATGAAATCATTATTTTGTGAGCCTTTATTGTGTTAGATTAGTTCACAAGATTAAGATGGTGTGACAAGAGATTTGGGTGGTCTTTGGAAATAGAACCAAGTATTTTTTAGTGATGAAAGTAACGTTAAAGTAATAAATAAAAAAAATAAAGTGTTCTTGTTAAATGTTTTAAGACCCTTTTCAGTTCCATCAGATAAACAGACAAGTAGAAAGTTATCTTTGCACTAATGCAACTAGTCTAAAGGTAACTTTCCACTTGCCTATTATTCTAAAGGAACTGGAAAGGGAAGGGAAAAATAAAATCACATGAGCATACATAGTTTTGCTATGAAAAAATAAAAGATTTGAACTAGGCAAACTCACATATTTATTTTTCCTTTCACATTTCCATAAAAAAGCAGGTAAGTGAAAACCTCACCTCAAAATATTAATGCATAATTATGACATAACTACAGCATAGCTACATTTAAAGTAATAATAAATTATAAATTAAAAATTTCCTCAAAAAAAATCATCTAAGTAATTATATAAGTAATTGGTGTTTTGATAATCAAAATCAATTAAAAGAACTTTTTTTTTACTTTGTAGTTACAATTTTCTAACTTTGTAGTTACATTACTTTGTAGTTTATTAATTTGTTTGTTTAATTCTAAAAAGTTTTTTAAATTATTAATAATTTGTAATGTAAAAATATTATGAAATAAATTTTTTACATGAATATTTTAATTTAGATTGAGAAATGACATTTATCTAACAAAAAAAAATCAGAAGGTATGTAAATTTCAATTGTTTATGCACAATTTTTTTGGATTTTATATTCCTTTTTTAAAATGTTAAGTAGTTAAGTCTCAAATTTGTGTTAAATAGTTTTTTTTTAGTTTTTTTTATTTTATTGTTAATTTAAAATTAAGTTTCAAATTTGTAGAGTCGCTCCGCTGCTTTTAAAGATTGGACTGATCAAGAGACTCTGTTGTTACTGGAGGTTAGTTTTTAATTTTTTAATTTTGTTTTTTTAAATTGTTATTTTTCTTTTTTACTTCTAGTCAAAAAGTTTTATAGTGTTTTATCGAGTTTTGGGAATAAAAAAAATATTATTACCTGGATTTTTTTTTTTAAATTTGTTCGTATATTTTAATTTAATAAGTGTCAATTTTATTAATTTACACATACTTTCTTTGCATTTACATTTAGTTACATTTATTTATATTTTCTATGTAGTTATATTTTATATTTAGTAACATTTATTTATATTTTCTATGTAGTTATATTTTATATTTAGTTACATTTATTTATATTTTCTATGTAGTTATATTTTATATTTAGTTACATTTATTTATATTTTCTATGTAGTTATATTTTATATTTAGTTACATTTATTTATATTTTCTATGTAGTTATATTTTATATTTAGTCATAGTGGTAACAATTTATTTAGTTTATTGTAAACAATTTGTTTGAAATGAAATTTTATTAATTGTCATTATGAAATTTTTTTTTTTTTTAAAAGCAAAATAACAATAAAAGCAAAAACAGTTACTGGTTAGTTATATTTAAAATACGTTAGTTCTATTTAAAATAGGTTGGCAGTTTAGGTTGCTATAAAGTGTTGTAACTAAAATGATGCCAATTAATTTCACAAAAGAAATGAAGCATAGATGCTTTGAACTTGCATTGAAATCGCATTGAAAGTTTAATCAAACTAACAAATAAAAATAACCTTAAATTGTTCAAAATGCACAAAATTGACTATGGCAGGTTGTTTGCTGACAGCCAGAATTGCCAATTCATAAAATTTTTATTAAACTTTACTAAAAATAGAAATAACTTATATGTAACAAAAAATAATATCATATTTAATTTATCATATGGAAATTTAAGCCACCTATTAAAAATAAATTGTAAAAAATATGTGGTCATAATTTGATAGCTAACCACTATAGTTCACTTGGGCTTGAAAACTCAGTCTTTTGAAGCAAATTTTTACATTTAATTTATTTTTAAGATTTATAAGCATGTTTAATATATTAATAAAATATAGGGCTTAGAGCTTCACAAGGATGACTGGAACAAGATATCAGAACATGTTGGATCAAGAACTCAGGATGAATGTATTATGCATTTTCTTAAACTTCCAATTGAAGACCCTTATTTGGAGAATGACAGTACTTTTTTAGGTAAAATAGTAAAAATAAGTTTTAATAAAAATTTTTTTTTCTAAGAATCATTTTTTATGTAAAATATTAAACACTGAATTATTTGTGTTGTTCCAGGACCTCTTGCATTCCAGCCAACTCCTTTTAGTCAATCTGGTAATCCTGTTATGTCAACTGTAGCTTTTTTAGCATCAATCGTTGACCCTAGAGTAGCTAGTGCTGCTGCTAAAGCAGCTGTTGGTAAATTTTTTTTTTTTTTTGCTACTGATTATTTTTATTTTGAAAATCAAATTTTTGTAAAATACCTTGAAAAAAAAACAGCATAAAAATGACTAATTTTTATTTTATTTGTTTTTGTTTGCTAAATTAAAATTGAAACAGATGAAAATTTTTAAGATGGTGCACCCATCATTTAGGGCAGGCAGTCTGAAATTTGGGTTGTTTCTTTCAGGCTTTTATCAGCAAATTTTTGAGACAAATCTGTCTTATATGATCATATTATATTATATGACTTTTTCTATAAAATATGACACTCTACAACAGTTCTGAATATCATATATATTTTTTAAATGTTAATACAATTTTTTCAATTTAGCTTTACTACAAAATCATTAAAAAAACTTGCTCAATTTAACATTATATATTCAAGCAAAATATTTCAGTAATTTGTTTATTTTTTTCGCCATGCTTTGCTCTAAGTTTAGATACATTAAATCTATTTACAATAGATTCCATTTTTTTCTATTAAATGTTCATTATATCTTGACAGAGAGCAATTGTGCATATCTCTTGATGAGAACTTATTGCATGTACTTTCCACATCACACTGAAGCTTTTATTCAAGTACTATAAAATGTTAATGAGTATAAGAAAAATATTAGAATTAAAAGAAGTAATTAAACAATAGAAGTTTAAGGTTACTTCTAAACAGTTTAAGAATGTTTAAAACTATCTTGTAATACTGTGCGCTCACAATATTACAAGATACTGTGAATCCACACAATCTTTTGTGAGTAGTTTCAAGTTAAAAAATATGAAATATTTGGTAAATAATGAAATTAATTCATTTACAATCGTTTTCTTTTTTTCTAATTATTTAGCCATAGATATTTTTTTTTTCTGAAATTTTACCAAAATTTCCAGGAAATACTTACTATTTTTATTGTTTACTGAGTTAGCAAAATTTTTATTTTATGCTATTAGCATTTTTTTCTAATTTATTTTTGTACAGATGAGTTTTCCAAGCTCAAAGAAGAAATCCCAAGTGAGCTTATTAATGCTCATATTGAAAAAGCCCAAGCTGAGTTGAAACAATCTAAAATTGAAAAAGATGAGGAGGGTAAAAAAAAAAGGATTTGTTTTCTTTTTCTTTTTTTTCATTGCAAATAATCATATTTAGTTAGACATTACTTTATTTAGAATCATCTACTGATCTACAAAATAAAGAAGGACAGAAAGATAGTGAAACTTGTGAGGATTCTTTAAGTGAGTTAAGTGAAAGTGACAAAGAGAAAATAAAAAAGTATGAAGGGATCTCAGAAGGCAACATAAAAACAGCTGCTGCTGCTGCAATTGCTGCTGCTGCTGTTAAAGCTAAGGTTGACTTTATAAAAGTATTTACAAATATTATTGACAAATTTATATTGTGATATTTTAATTCATTATTGTTATATATAGGGGCATTGCCAGTGGGGGAGGCATCCTTAGAATGTAAGAATATGTATAGGGGCAACATACCAGTTCCAGGGGAAACATCACTAAAATGTACAGGTTTTTACTCTTATCTTTTAAGTGACATATTTTCTATAAGTTGTCTTTATTTGAATCAGGTATAAAGATAGAAAAATTTGGAATATATTATTTGCATAAAACTTGGAATATATTCCTTGCATAAAATTTGAAATATTTACCTTCCAAAAAATTTATCAAAAAAATTTATTGGATTCACCTTATAATCAGTAATAGTTTGAATAAAAGAGTTTCATGTTTGATTTGGTTCAAGTATATTATTAGTTCAGAAATGTAACTTATAAGTTCTCTCCCGATGTGTTGTTTAAATGGTTTCCGATGTGTTGTTTGAACTCTCATTTGAAGCATCTAAAAACTCTTTCTTACTCTACAAAATTAGACAAGCAAACTACAAACTAAACTGCTTAGAAAGCTTTTCTTTTCCATAAAGATCCAGATTCTCATCAGTCTATTTGCAATAGTCACCCATCTTCTACAATATAATAAAACCACACTCCATTTTCTCAATATTGTTTTTTTTTTTTTTTTTTTTTTTAAATGTGCAACCAAAATCAGTTTAAATTAATAAATATATAGAGTTTATAATAATAAATATATAGAGTTTATAATAATAAATATATAGAGTTTGTAATAATAAATATATAGAGTTTATAATAATAAATATATAGAGTTTGTAATAATAAATATATAGAGTTTATAATAATAAATATATAGAGTTTGTAATAATAAATATATAGAGTTTGTAATAATAAATATATAGAGTTTGTAATAATAAATATATAGAGTTTATAATAATAAATATATAGAGTTTAAAATACCATTAATCATTAATCTTTATCCAAGTCAATTAGTTTTTTCTCTGAACACATTACTGAGAGTTGCTTTTTTTTTTTTTTTTTTATTTAACTTCACCTCCTCAAGGCCGAGAAGGCCACTACAGACGAGGAGGCTACTTATTTTGTGGCTATAACCCTCTCTCAACTCTATAACTCCGAAACACGAACCTTGAAGAACAAGGCCGCTGCGCGGAGAAACGAGTTGAGCGCGGTACTACCAGGGACGTGGTGGGGATCGAACTCAGAACCACTCGTTTATGAAGCGAGCGCTCTACTACTACACCACTACCGCATGATGCTTTACTATCTAAATAAATTTTTTGAGAGAAATTTGAATTCAACATAGAATTCAAATAGTAACATAGTATTCAAATAGTAACATAGAATTCAAAAAGTAAACACATTGTGTAGAACCTCTATTCTTTTTCAGTAATTTTTCTTTTTCAGTCCTGTCAGACCTTTCAGTGGGGGTGAAATACATATTTTCTCTCTGATTACCCACTATTAACAATATAGAAGTCTGTTTTAAATATTCTTGAAGAGAAATTTTTTATTTAAAAGAAAAAAAAAATGTTTGTTTTGCCATTTATATTTTAATTAATGATTTTAATTATTTTAGTTATATAACTTAAAGTGTTTTCAATTTTTTTGAAATAGCAAATAAACTGAGGTTGGCGAAAAAATTGAGTCTAAATCTTTATTGTGGCGTGCTCTTAACAATTCTTGATTAAGTCTAAAATGACTAAGGAAACCAGCTTTCACAGGTTTGACTAAGGAAACTTTCACAGGTTACAAGTTTACAATGCTTAGTATTCTCATCTACTAAAATAGTTTTCTCTTTATTTCACAAATGTTATGAACCTTGTGCTCTAACAAGGCCTTTAAAATGTCTTTATTTGAGTTTTAAAGTCTGAATCAGCAAGAGCCATAACTACTACTTTAGGTGAAAGATACCAGGAGTGAGATTTTTAATTTTTCAAGAGTGAAGTTTCTACATCAATATCCCATTCCTATTTATTTTTGCTTGATTTTTACTGATTTTGCTACTTAAATGAATTTTTTCCAATCTGCAGAATGTTTAGCAAGGCTGGATTTTAAAAACTCTGGAGCATAAAATATAACAATCATTAAGCAGACTAGAATATGCTGGTCTTTAATTTAAGTATTTTGTAACTGGCAATACCAATTCCAAACCCATGTGAATTACTAAAGCCTAATCACTTTGAACAGTTTCTAAGAGAAGATTATATTGTTCCAAGTGAAAATCGTCCTTGTGATGAAATTCGGAACTAGTAACAGGCACAGTAATTCTATCTCTTGTAGTTGTTTGTTGGATTTTCTTATACAGATGTGTAACTAGTTTGCCATCAAAGTGAAGGTCAAGATTTTTTACTCTTATTTCGTCTATATAATTCTGTTTAATTTCATTTCCGTGCTTTTGAATTATCTCATAATCTTTAATCTGACAGTTTCTCTGTTTATCTTAATTTTTTTTCATATATACTCCTAGACTTCATGATACTGGTTATAAGCATTGTTTGATCTCGATATTTTAAACTGTCCTTGATTAAATTTATTCAAATGAAATACAATTGATGTTGATGTATCAATTTTATCTCATTTAAATAATTTCCATCAGCATTTTTAATCAACTGTTCTAAATCCAAGTAATTGTAGTTCTTGCCATTATAATAATGGGCATCTCCATTGCCCTCTATTGACATTTTTTTTCTTAAAACCTACCTACAGTATCTTTTTTGTCTATCTTTGCTGTCATCTTTGCTTCTTTTGATCTTTTTCTATATGTCCCCTTAAAAACTTTTATTAGCATTTTTCTGATCTTCCAAAAATGCTAAATATTCCTCTTTATTCTTTTTGTTTCTTGGTTCAAATCTTGACTGAGTTGTGTAAGCTCTTTAATTTTGGGTTTTTCAATGTCAAAAAGACTCTCCATGATTAATTGAAATTTTTTAACTAATTATTCTTTGGTGTCATTTTTCCAAACTAACAACTTTTCCTTGGTCATTAATACTCTTTTTTTTTTCAAAAATTTTGATAATATTTTATCTTCTCCAATAATATAGTTTGTAAAACCACAAGACTCCCAGTTATTCACTATTTTTCTAAAAAGACAGTTCTCCGTCTTTATGATAACACTTTGTTTTTCTTTGCATTCAATATTCAAATCTGATCCCATCGGACGAAAAAAATCATAAATACTTTTAAATCGTTTTGATCTACTGCTAATTTAATATTGATAATGTCTTAAAAGTAATACATTAGTTGGAAGCTGATTCTGAGGTAAAAAAATTAAGGTTTAAGAAGATAAAGCGGCCTCCTACAACTGACATGCAGATGTCCAACATGTTTCGCCTTCTTTTCGATACTTGGTTTGATCTTTGTGTCTATATCACAAATATTGGTATTTACATAAATAATGTTTAATGTTTTTTTTTTTAAGTTATATTTAATTTAAAAACAAATCATTAAATTTATTTGATGTCATTATTAAATAATATACTAAATAATGCCATTAATAAACCTTATCTAAAACAATGTTTACTTCGCCTTTTTTTTATATATGAAATTTTTAATTAGTAACTTTGTGAGCAGTTTAAAAATATTCGAAACTGCTGTAAAACTTTTTTGCAATGCCTAAAAACTATCCCTGAGGGTTGTAGAATTAGATGCAGTATCATTTTTAAATTTTTTTTTTTTTTTCACACACGCATATATATATATATATATATATATATATATATATATATATATATATATATATATATATATATATATATATATATATATATATATATATACACATGTATATATGCTTACATGTAGCACCTTGGTCAGGTTGAAGAGAGAAAGATAAAAAGTCTTGTAGCTCTCCTAGTTGAAACACAAATGAAGAAACTAGAAATTAAATTACGTCATTTCGAAGAATTAGAAACGATTATGGATAAAGAACGAGAAATTGTAAGTTAGTTAATTCACTAATTTACTTACTATTTTCATGGTAACATATCTATTGCTTGTTTATTTATAATTATAGCTAGAACAACAGCGTCAGGCCCTAGTGAAAGAACGCCAACAATTGTTTATGGACCAGTTAAAAATGCAAGAAGCACGGGCTTCAAATGTTCCTGTGGAAATACAGTCTCACCCTCCATCTATCACTCCTGTAGTCCCTTCTTCTACACCATCGGCTGATGAAAGGGTTTCTATTTTATTACTTTTATTTATTCTTAAACAAAAGTTCTTTAAAATGAAAAGTATTTAGAACTTTTGTTTACAAATACACAAAATAGTTTTGCAATTAAAAAGCGATGTTGTTCAGAGTTTGGTAGTACTTTATATTTTTAATATCCAAGAAAATTCAAATCAAAAAGTAAAGACTAAGTTTAGTTGGTTACTGGTCAATGCCATTTTTAGAGTTTAGCCATCAAAAATAAATGATTATCAAATTTTTTGTATGAATAATAATTATTTTTAGGCTCCTGCGAGTAGTAATTGCAGTGACTTGAAGAGATTTACTGAAAATAAAATTCCTGGACCAGATTTTTTTCAACTCCAGATGACTTCTGCGAGATCTAGTAAGTAAAATTAGTTATGATTTATCTAGAGAACTCTAATCAGGAGTAATGATCAATAGGGGCTCGAAAAAATAAATACACCGGTGATGTTAGCTATTATGAGATAATATAAAAAACTATTTCATGAGGGCCATTACGAAATTTATCAGCATTTAAAATGATTTTTTGAATTAATTATTGATGTTTGCAAATAACATTTATACTTAATAATCGACTAAATATTGATAAATCATCATGAATTTATTACGTTGGATTAATCAAAATTATTTTAAAAGTATATTTTAGTGTTAAACTAATTTAAAAATAATAATTTGCAGCCATTTTTCTCATGTAATTTATCTTTAATGTATTTGTAAATTATATTTTTACAGATTCAAGCGTATCAGTATTGTCTCCTACAAGTGATCGTATTTCAGACAATTCATCTACGTCATCTTTAGTCGCTAATGAGTTAATGGTGGCGAAAACACCTTTACCATTAGGATGCATTCAGCAAGACGAGAAAAAACAAGTTTCTGATTTGCCTCCATACTCTGTTCCGCCACCATTACCTATACCTGCAGTTAGAGGTGCGCGAGGTGGCCGAGGAAGTCGTTCTAAAGCAAACCGTGCAAATGCTCAAGTTAATAACGATATACAACAGCATCATCCATCTGCGCCATATCTGACCGGAGGTATGCCTCCATATCCTGGGTATGGAGGCTTTCCTGGTCAACAAATTCCTGGCATGGCTCCAGGGATGCAAGGGTTTCCTCCTAACTCAATGATGCAACCAGGAGCTGGAATGATGCCTCAAATAAATCCATCTCAATTCTCATCTGGTCAGTACCCACCAGGACTTAATAGTCAATTTCCACCACTATGACTAGGGGTACAAATACCACGAGCTGATTCTCCAAATAATATGCCTTAATTTTGTTACAAAAATGCTTAATACGAAGTTTTTTGTACTTCACCTAGGCACATTTTTTGATGTAAAATTATTTAGTCGCATAAAGTTATTGAAAAATTTATTAAAACTAATATAAATAGTTTAAAGTTATCATTGCATCGTATACTATTGTTTAATATTATACTATTACTAGGCAGTAGAGTTTTAAGTAATAGGAGACAGATTAAATGAATATAAATTATTAACAGATAGCGATTGTTGATTAAATTGTCAAGTCGGCAACCAAAAGTTTTTCTTATTTAAAAAAAACTTTTAGTTGCCGATAAAAATTTTCATTTATTTTACTCTTTGATTTTAGGGCAAAATACTTGATTTATCAATATGATAAATAGAAAAAATAAAAATGTCTATAAATCTGTATTTAATGCTATTACGCATTACCAGCGATGTGAAGTTTTAAAGTGTTCAGAAGCTCTGTTCAAATGTTGAGAGACTACATTGAAGAATAAAAATGTGGGGGTTTAAAGACGTTAAGGCTATTTTTTTTAGTGCGGAGCTGTTTTGACGAAACATCAAACATACTAACTGCGTTTGAATCAACAACTGTTGAAGATCTCAATGTTTTATTGTCCTATAGGCTATCTTCGCTTAAGTGATTTCGCAGTGGTTATATTTGCAAATTAATAAACAGTTGTTATATAAGACAATTTTTCCTGTCTATTTGTGAAAGTGTTACTAATGATATTGATTTCATTTTGACGAAAATTAAGTTAGTTTTTCTCTTTGAGGCATACTCTGCTTCCAATTATAAGTTCGCACCAATTTTAATTTACTAATTTTATTTATGCTCTGAATTTAATTTTTAATTTACCTCCCTAAGGTTCCAGAAATCTCCAGAGTTTAGAGGTTTTAGACCTCTGTCCATTTGATTGTAAGCCGACCGTTCTACCATTAGTCTACTAACGCATTATTTGCAAAATGCAGTCTAATATCAACATAGTAAATAAGTAGGGTAGACTAGGGTAATATGAGTACCTCGTTAATATTAGCATACTAAAATATTTCTAAGATTTAAGCAGTAAAGTTGAAGTTGCTTGTATTTTTTGAATCCATTTTATGTTGTGATAACAGAAATCAGTATAATTAGCGTAAATTTATATGCAGTAATTAGCAGCTCTCATCTACTTAGAACGCTATTAAATTTTTTGTGTTGTTAAAATATTATCATCACGCTTGAATGAGTTTGTGGCGCAAAATTTTGATGTTAAAATAATGAAATTTAATTTTCCATAGAGAAAAATATGTTAGCTAGAAATCCGTTTCATTTTGGTTTGAAAAACAATGCATAAAAACATTTAGTTTTGACTTTAAGATACCATTTTTGTGTAATGCTTAAATTACTCAGTTTTTTTTTTCATTGAAATTACTTTGTTCAAATTCCTAAAATTAGTGAATTTATTTTTGAATAAAAACAAAAGGTAGTTGGTAAAATGCGAACCGTGAACTGCGAACTGGTAAAATGCGAACTTTTTTGCGCACCAAGACATTTTAATGATCACTTCGGTTATGATATTTAAAAAAAACTTTTGCTCGTCAATTTTTTAATTATATACTTTTTTTAAAATTATACGTTTTTTAAAATTGTATCAATACCCGACGGGCATTTGTTTTTAAAAGTTACGATCTAAATGTATTTTAAATGTCTTTTAAACGTCTTTTAAACATTAATGTTTAAAAGACGTTTAAAAGACGTTTAAAACACATTTAGAACGTAACTTTTAAAAACAAATGCCCGTCGGGTATATGTAAATTTTTCCTTTTTGAAAATCAATATTTTGACTTTTATTATTGATAATATTTATTTTATTTCAAAATGTAACTATTTTTGTGTTGTTATTTTTTAAAAGACCACACAACATTTAGAACAATTAGTACAACTAGCTCCAGATGTTTTGCTGTCTTTTTATAAACACAAAATCATCTATTTAAATCATGCATCCTAGTATACCAAAAAGACCCCACAACATTTAGAGTAATTATTTTACAATTAGCTCCAGAAGACTGCAATTGCAAACATGAGTGTACCCAAAATATCGCTAACGATAGAAGAAATGAAATTAATGATTATTTTCTGCAGTAAATCGCTGAAAAAATGAAAAATAGTAAATCCAAAAAGTTCAACTTTTGCTATTTTTTGGTTGGTGGCAATGATGTCAACTATTTAGTATGCCAAAAATTTTATCTTAACACTTTAGGATTGAAAAATACAAATACTAAAATGATTTGTCGAGCTTTTGAACAAACAAAAAAAGACAACAGCTAAACAAAGAAAATATAAGGTAAATAAATTAGTTACACACATAATGAGCTAATCGCCAGTCCCATCACATTACACACGTAAGAACTGCCCTAATCGAAGATATCTTGCATCCAATTTAAATGTAAAGAAAATGTTGGGGGATTTCAACAAGTTTAATAATGTTGTTTGCTTTGAATCAACGTTAAGAAAAACTATTAAAAAATTAAATATTTTGTTCGCAAATCAAACAAAGGAAGAGTGTTACACATGCCTTCAGTTCTTTACACATTGTAGAGAAAAAAATCATTCTAAATTAACTTTAACTCCAGACTGTACAGATTGCATGACATGGAATATTCACATGAAAAGAGTCGGATAAGCCAGAAACATTTATAGACTTGATGCTGATCGAACTGTTTGTGCACAAAAAATAATAATGGCGACAGACATGAAAAAAGTAATCATGCTACCAAGAAAGGAAAATCTTAAAGAAGCAGTTTTGTTTGTCAGCGGTTAACAATATACAATCAAGCATTTGTGCCTATTGTATATTGTTAACCGCTGGAAAAACGAAGGAAAGTGTAGTTTCAATGGTTTGGTATGAAGAAATTACTATGCGGTGCAGAGAAGAGCTGTTTTCTACATATTATTTGTTTTTGCATAAATATGGGGACAAATCTGAAATCATTGATTGGTGTGACAATTGCTCCGCTCAAAACAAAAATTGGAGTTTAGTGATGTTTACGTACTCTTTAATATTTTTTTTTTGTATATTTTATTCATATTTGTTTATAAACACGGACATTTTGTAAACGGGGCTCGGTGATAAGACTGGCATTGTCTTCTTCTTGCTCCGGCCAAGTTTTATAAATGTAATATGTCTTTATTGTAAATATATGAAACGGCAAAAAAAAAAAAAAATGTTTCTGATATATATGATTAATGGCAATGAAATCGCAACCAACAAAATCAAATTAAAATATTTGGAAAAAAGGCACACATTTATGAGTTGTGACTCATTTCATTATTTAAAAGAGAAGCAACTAAAATTAAGTCACGTGTACAATTTTAATGATTTTATTCAAAGAGTGGAAGCAGCGAAACGAAATACTAAGGTTAAAATTTTGCAGGTAAGTTTGACTTTAGTTCTATAAAATTTATAAAAATTGAGGCTGTAACTAAGTGAGCTTTTATTCTTTTAAGGCCACAAACATTTTTGTGCTAAAAGTAAAAATCACTCAATATAAATTGAATAAATTGTCTCCTCGTCCATATATAGAAAACATCGCCAAAATCGAGTTCAAACGTGTTTTTATAGAATGTTTTATCGTTGTGACTATGATGGCCCCGTGATTGAAGCATCAGTTTTATCCAAAAAGCAAAAAGAAAAAATGTCAACTTTTCAACATACCATGAGAGATTTAAAAGCCGGAATCAATCCAATCCAAAAATCGAAACTTGTTTCAACACTTTGTCCTATAATGCCCCCTAATAGAAGAGAGTTTGGGGAAAATTTGTTTAACAATTCTTCAACTTCAAAATTATATATTATAAACGTCTTGCGCGCATAGAAATTTCCTTGATATTTGTTTTTTCCTTTTTGTATTATTAGTTATTTCATCTTCTAAAATACATTTATTTTATATTGAAAATTTTTAACAGATGTAACTAATATAATTGTTTTGTAATATTAGTCAGTGGCGTAGAAAAGTCAAAAAAGTTGGGGAGGGGGAAGGGGTGTAAACAAAAATTAAAGCGGTCTAGGGCAGCAAAAAATAGAATTTGAATGAAATCAAAATGAAATTTTAAGAAATTTTAAATTTTCATTTTTTTTTTTTTTAATAGTTTAATTGGAAGAGTTTTAGATTTAGATGGTGTAGCAAGCAAAATGTTTTGTTTTGTCAGTATTCAATTAAAGTTTTATTTGCTATAAACCACTCATTAAGATAATAATATATTAGTTCTGTCTACATAACAAAAAATATTTTTTAAATTTGGGCCTGAAAAGAAAAAGTGACATCAGCAAAAATAATATAATTAAGTATTTTTAAGAACAAATACCTTTTATATAAACTAAAAACAGCGAAATTCCAAGTATTGATCCTTGTGGAACACCGTAACTTAACGATTCAAATCATGTGCATATTAAATTGTATCGTACTCCTTGCTACTTAAAGACTAAAATAATTACCTCAAAAGATATAAAGTAACATAAATTTTACAAATACTGGCAGCATTTACCGTATAAAAAATAAAATGAATCATAAGCAGTAAAGATCCATATAGGCATGTTAAGATATCTCATGCTTCAGTGGATTTTTTAAAAATCAAACAAGATATTTTTTTTGTTGGGGTGGGGGAGGGGGTTATTGAGGTGCTCCTAGAAGTCGTTGCAGTCTGATAAGCACCGCAGAAACGCACTAGGAAGTTCACGCCTCTTTCCTAACCAATGTCGCTCATTAGCCAGCGTCGAACTACGGACCTTTTGGTTCTGGGCCAGAACTCTAACCACTACGTCACGCAAAAAAAAAAAAAAAAAAAAAAAAAAAAGTTCAACGATTTCAGTCAAAAGAAGCCAAGTTTCAGAAAACTCTTATGATGATAATTATTGAATAAATTAGTTAAAATAAATAAACTATTTGTTTTTTATTTTTATTAATTAATAAAAGTTTCCAACTACTGATTTAGTTTTTTTTAAGCATTATTCTTGCGTGTTTAATATACGAAAGGAGACGTTTATCACTTTCAAGAAATTATCCCACTCAATTCAAGCTTATTAACCCCCCGTCGTTAATTAATTTTTACTTGTTATTAATAAAAAAAATGGTTTGGTTTTTTCATCTTTAAAACTAAGGATGAAAAAACCAAAATAACAGAGTAAACCAGCCTTAAAAGTTGATATTATCTTGTTAAGATATCACTGATAAGAATAAAAACTTATGTAATCAGGCTTTAAAAATCGTATAGTATTTATATTAATATGCAATATATTACAAGCATAGTATAATGTTTACATACAATTTATTTTATATTACAAGCATAGTATAATGTTTGTAAAAGCATATTAAATCCTATTGGAATTATGATAAAACAGCTGTTAAAAAAGCGCTATTAATTTGATCACAAGTCACAGTAAATTGTTTTATGGGTGTTATGTAAAATATTTCTACCTGCTTTTTTACAAAGATTCTTTTCCCGCCCTTCCCCCCCTCCCCCGCCGTTTTTTTTTTATTTATTAGTTTGAGATAAAAATTTCTCCTTCGCCCTCATTTGACACCTAGTCACCTTTTTTTTCTATTATTCTGTGTTTGCAACGCAACTACAATTTGTAGCTATTACATACTTACATTGCAATTTTTTTTTTTAAATATGAGAAAAATAAAACAAAAAATAGTATTTTTACAAAATAAAAGTAATTAGTAAATAAAAAGACTTCACTATGAGGATAGCTCACCATTTTTAAAATGCGTATACTCGTTGATGATAATGATATCAACGCGTACACTCGTTGACGATATGATATCAACACGTACAACCGTTGATATGATTTATATAATTATATTATAATATTATATACTAAATGTTGCTAGTTGAATTTTAATTGATGTTTATTTAGCAGTATGTTTTAGGCAATGTACCTACTGAACACTATAGTACCAGTACTTTCGGGCTACCAACTACTAACAGTACTAGTAATTTTGGGTATCTGCAACAAAAACTGCATGTGGGTTTATTTCAAACTTAAAATATTTTTTTAAAATTTAATATTTTATTTAGAAAATTCAACTATTTTCTCCATAATAGACCCCGAATTCTTAACTTGGGTGGGTTCTTACAATCTTTTGATCGCACCGGCAACTCGCGTAATCCACAGTGATCTAAGATAGCATTAATAAGAGAATCTAACTGAGATTTGGTTGGTATCTCATGCCATTGTTTAACAAGAAAACTCGTAAGCGATTCAGGTAAATATTCTAAAACACTCCGAAAAGATTCCAGGTGCCTGTTTTGCTCAATAATGTTAAGAATCCAGTATTTAAAGCTCAGCCATTGATTTCCGCTCATTATTTTAGAAATATATGTGTTTGTACCATCGTTTCCAAAAAATATATTCATTGATATTGTTGTATCTGTTGAAGTAACTTGATGCCACCAAAATGCAGGAAAATAAAGCATCTCACCAGGTTTTAATATACACTAAAAAATAATAAAGATCCTAATTATACAAAAAACTTGATTTAAAACCAAAAGATTTGATCTCTCTCAAGAGTTTATTTTTTATTTTGCAAAAATAAATCTATACGTATAAATATCAGTACATAAGGGATTATAAAATTATTATAAAATTATACCGTTAAAATAAGATTATTATTTTTGCAAAAAAATGAATATTGTTAGAGGGTTTTTAAACTTTAAATTAGAAGACACATTAGTTTATTTAAAATTTAAATTAGAGGACACATTAGTACATCTAAAAATTAAATTAGGAGACACAATATTAACAGAAGAAAAACAAATAATTAACCAAAGAATCTAAGATACTAATCAAAAATTGGGTTGTGGAATAACTCTTTATGAAATTAAACAGACTTTTGGAACAAAAATCCATTTCAATTAATTCATCTATAGCAAGATGCATTGATAGTTTTAACTATACTTTAAAACGTGTTCACAATAGAGAAGAAATTCTGAAGATATTGATGAAACATGTTCACAATATTCCAGAGAGAAGAAATTCTAAAGATATTATTGATGAAACAAGTTCACAATATTCCAGAGAGAAGAAATTCTGAAGATATTATCGATGAAAGAACTAATTATGCAGAAGGATTCATTTTGTCTTTAATGAATGACAATAAAATATTCTTTATTGATGAAATTTCAAATTTTCGAAGAGGACTTTCTTTAGTTGCAAAGAAGGCCGCGCAAACAGTGACCAATATACTGTCAAGAAATATTTTTGTCTGTTGTGTAATGAATAAAAATGGCATTTTGAATTATGAAGCACAAACAAGAGCATATAATACAAAAAGTTATTTATATTTTATTAGTCTAGTATTAGCACAATTAGATATTAATTAAATTGTTGGAGCTATCTTAACTTTAAATAAAGTTTGTTTTCATAAAGCCACCTCTGTTCAAGATGAAATAGTCCTCCTCTTCAGCATATCAAAGAACAGCAAAAATTATCTACATTTCTTTTTTAAAATTGATGACATGTCTACCATTCTCATTCGAAACAAATCTGATTGTCAGGGTACTGAGCAATCCGACTCTAATTTTGAAATAAATATCAAAGATTAATAATTTTGGAAATTGCAAAACTAATTTGTACATGTTTGCAAAAAGAATGAATCGCTCGACCAGATGGAAACAGAAGTTTAAAGTTGAATGCATCTGTTAAAATATAAAGATACAAATCAAATTTCAAATGGAACAAGACCTACATAGTAGAGATATGACCGAAAGAATTTTAACCTCCATTTTGGTCACAAATTATAAACTTTTGTGAACTGATTATTTATAAATTATTATTAGAGCTAGTTTTAAAGAAACGTTCCCCCACCTAGACACATGACGACACCAAGACACCTAACGACACCAAGACACCTGACGACACCAAGACACCTGACGACATGGTAGGTGTCATATTATACTAAAATATTTTTCTCCCAAAGTATATCATGTTGGGCCTTAAAAGAACTGAAATTTCATAGAGATTTCATAAATAACATTTTAAATGTAACCTTTTTGAGAAAAATATTTTAAAGATAGATAAAATGCCTTAAAAAGTGCCTTTTTTCAATTTTTATTTTAAAATGTTAGTTTTTTTTAAACAAGTTTGAAAAAATTAATTTTTATTTAAGAGCTTTAAAATTTTAAAACTTTCTATAAAATTATGCTTCTTTTGAGACCCAACTTAGAGAGAAATATTTTTATTAATATATGACACCCACCATGCTGTCAGGTGTCTTGGTGTGGGACCATTTTATGAATGGAATGAAATAAATGTGTTTCATTTATTTCTATTACAAGCTACAAAATTATTCTTATATCATAACCCTTCTGCAGTGCAGGTACAGTGCAGGTGGCCTTTTCCATTCAAAAAAAAAAAAAAAAAGATCATAGAGCATATTTTAAAATTTCTATGATTAACAAGACAACTGGAAAGTGAGTTGTACAGTCAGGAGTGATAACGATACTGTCAGATCTTAAATTAACTGTAAAAAATTGTGTTCATTACATTAAATTTGAATTTTGTAATGAAAAGGTTAATAGAAATCCGGTTTTAGTAAATGATTTTTCTGAATATTATGAACTTTGTTATGAACATTAAAAATAAAAGAGCATTGAATCTTTGCACTAATATTGTACAAGTACCAATTAATAAAGGAGGAGGTTCATTGAAAATAAATGTTAATATGTTTGATCCAGATGAACTTAAAATTATTAGTACTAATAAAAAGATCAGAAGTAAATACAGTAGATCAGAAGCAAAATGCAGCATATATTCCCATAATTTAAATAACGTTTTTGTATTTTTTATTATCAATTTTTAAAAAATCTTTCATAACTGGAGTCCATCGAGATATGTCTTTTTGGTTTTAGTACATGATCGAAAAAGACAAATGGATACATTTTTTTTAAACCTTGGTATATATGGTAAACAGATCTTCATTTATACTGCTGTTTATTAACTTGATCTGCTTTTGGTGGTGTCCATTTAACTAGGAGAACAAGTAGTATCAATAATGCATTGAGATTTTTGAAGATCCTTTTGTTTACAGTAGTTTAGTAAGTTCCCTTTTTTTTAATGGCTATTTTGACGTTGTTGGCGACAAATATTATTTCGTTCTTTTTCTATTTATTTTAATTCAGTTTTCTTTCTCTATAATCTTTACAAACTTGTTTGTGTGATTTGGGCATTATTTTTATATTTATGTTGCCTGTATTATTATGTAGAATATGTAAAAAAAAAGAACTTTTAAATCATTTCATAACTGTTAGATATTTAGATATTTATTTCATAACTGTTAGATATTTAGATATTTATTTCGAAATTAAAAATTAAACTTTTTTTAAAATAGGATGTATTTGCCAGACTTTATTTTTAGAATATCTTTATACTTTTACTGCAAGAAAATATTTTTTTTTTAAATAAGGACTTCAGCAAATCCTATTAAGTTATCATTAGACGTGTTTCCAATGCTACAATGTTGACCTCTTTGTGATTTGTGGACGTAAGATAAATTTTATCACAATTTTTATAAAGCTAAATATATAAAATTTCGTTAAATCTAAAATACAGATCTTTATTTAACTAATTTACATAATGTTTATAAAGTTAATACTGTTTTTAAGATACAGTTATCTTCCTCTTGATGAGTAGTCTGAAACAGCCTTATGTTCTCTTTATGGACCTTGTGACTTACATCTTTTTTATATCTTGCCCAAGTTGCTTTAAACTTGTAGTGAGTGGCTTCTTCAGGTTGTTCTGCAAATCTGGGAGCGTATTCACTAAACTTTTGTGTCGCGTAAGTTTGGCGTAAGTTCAAAACTATGATATTCGTATTCACGAAACTTGCGCAGTTGCGTTGAACAAAACTTACCAAAGTTTTTTCGTAAGTTCAGCGCTAAAAAATCGGTATTCACCAAGCTAAAATGGTGTTCACCAAACTTTTTAAAAACGTGCTCAGCTCAATCAAAGCAAGAAAAGTTACGTTAGCTATGAGCTGCCTTAACCTTGGCGTAACGTTAAAATCACTAAATATTAGAAATAGTGTAATATTATTATGAGTCATATACACCTATATTTTCAGATAGATATAGAATCTTATTATAATATATACAATTTATTTATATAAGTTGTATATATTATAATAAAGTTAACATTAATCATAGATATCAACACAAGTAAAACAAGTATGATATGCATCATAATAATTTAACATCTTATTAACTTAATAACATCTTAATAATTAAGATGTTGTATTATTATAAATTATAGTAATATAACTTCGTATAATATAATCATAATAATCATAATAATATTTTTTTGTATAACATATTCAATTTATTTTGTTATAATAGTAATATAACAGCATAAAATAGGATCTTAATATATTTAAGTTATATGCATAATGGTGTGATATTATCATTAAATATTGACATCTTAATTGCAACAATTAAGGTGTTAAATTAATAATTAAGCTAAACTTAATGTATATTAAGAACTTAATGTATATTGAAGATGGGTAGGAGTGAGCCACTTTTTTTAAATCGATTATATCAAGGAAACCAAAAGTGGAAAAAATATAGGATAAGGAGCCTAAGGTAGCCTAATATATTAGGTTTCTAATAGTAATACATGAAATATTAAAATATCTTCAGATTTTTAATAACTTGGACAATAACGCAGGTGTTGCTACTGGTTCACTCCTACCCATGCATGGGTAGGAGTGAACCAAGCGAACGGTAGGAGTGAGCCATTATCTTTGATGACCAGAAAACTAAAATTAGATACTTTCTTTAACAAATTTATTAAAAATTAAGTAAATAACAAATACTTTATAATTAAGCATAACATAATTAAGTTATAAAGTAACATAAATAGCAATAAATTAAACACAATTTTAAACTCATTTAATGAAATAAACAAAATGTATAAGTTACCTGAAAAAGTGTTTTAAGTAACAACTGATTTTGAGCAAAACAAAAAACTGTCATGACAAATGATAATTTCCAAATATTAAGATATAATAAAAGTATAAATATGCAATGAAAGTAGTATATTAGCATATAGTATATTTGTAATAAAAATAATATTTACCAAATACTGATATATTCAAACACAACCTCAAATTTGTAATGGCAATGTTGCCTTTTTTCTTGTTCCAGAAAAGGTTGGCCGAGGTAGCAATATTTTTAAATTATTGCAATTTTTTAAATACTTTTTCCTTTTTGGATTAAATGCAATGCATCTTTCTTTCGAAGTTGTTCTTTTATAGATTCGAAACGTTATAACATATGGTAAAAGTAAATGCAATGTTGCACACGAGTTTTCTAATGATATACTAAGATATAAAAGTCAAACTTAAACGCTAAAGTCAAAACTTTTTTAATGTGAAGTATTAGTAAGCCGCGGTTCACTCCTACCCGTGAAGGAATGACTCATTCCTCCCCAAGCTGTACAACTGGATTAAAACATTAAATGTTCTATAAGTACGTGGTTTATGCATGTAAAATACTTTGTTCTAAAAACTACTTGGTGAAAATTTTGGGTCTTTTTCATTTCCCGTTTTAGCTGTAGGATCAAAGGTTCACTCCTACCCTTGGCTCACTCCTACCCATCCTCCCTTATGTAAACTTAATTCATATATATTAAGGTGTTATACGATTAATATTAATAATATAACATGCTATTTTGTAAAATAATAGTAACATTATTATAAAAATAAGATACTATAGTATATTATATATTATACAAAAAATAAAATATATATTATTTTTTTAAAAGATGCTATATTGTTATGATGCAATTATGATTTTGGTAATATATATAATTATTGAGTTATTATATTAACAAAAAACAACTATATCTTTATAAATATTAACAATAAAAACAACTACATCCTTATAAATATTCTATTTCACAGTTTTTTGTTAAATGGTACATATCTCATTAAGTATAACGATCAAAGATCATTTAGTTGTTTTAATAGCTCTATTTAGATTTATATGTGATGAACTGTTAATTAATGTTAAATATGCTTGTGATGAACTGTTAATTAATGTTAAATATGCTTGTGATGAACTGTTAATTAATGTTAAATATACTAGTAATGAACTGTTAATTAATGTTAAATATACTTGTAATGAACTGTTAATTAATGTTAAATATGCTTGTGATGAACTGTTAATTAATGTTAAATATGCTTGTGATGAACTGTTAATTAATGTTAAATATGCTTGTGATGAACTGTTAAATATGCTTGTGATGAACTGTTAATTAATGTTAAATATGCTTGTGATGAACTGTTATATAATGTTAAATATGCTTGTGATGAACTGTTAATTAATGTTAAATATGCTTGTGATGAACTGTTAATTAATGTTAAATATGCTTGTGATGAACTGTTAATTAATGGACTGTTACAAATGAAGTTTAAAACAGTTGATTTAGAGACTACTTACTTAAATTTTTTTTTCCTTTTTCAGAGATGTCAAAAAGTAAAAGCCTAGATAAAGATTTTTATTTTTTTTAATTCTGAATTAAAACACTGGAATATAATCCAATGCAGGTTTGTTAACAATCATGGCTACACGTTTTAATCAACTACACCAGAGAAAATATGTTACACCATTTAATCAACTACACCAGAGAAAATATGTTACACCATTTAATTAACTACACCAGAGAAAATATGTTACACCATTTAATCAACTACACAAGAGAAAATATGTTACACCATTTAATCAACTACACCAGAGAAAATATGTTACACCATTTAATTAACTACACCAGAGAAAATATGTTACACCATTTAATCAACTACACAAGAGAAAAAATGTTACACCATTTAATCAACTACACCAGAGAAAATATATTTCAATTAAGTTCAGGTAGATTGTGATAGGGAGCAATCTTTTGGTCATCTCAAAAATTATTAAAGGTCATAAGAGAAGTAGAGCACTTTAGTGTTCCTAACAAAAGCTTACCCTAATAATATACTGCAAAATATATTTTACGTGCATTTTACTATAAAACCTTTGCAATTGCTTAGGATTAGAAATTCATAAACTTTTAGGACAATGATGAAGATGATGTACATGATGTTCAGACCGAATTAACACAAGTCAACCAATTTGACTTGGCATTGTACAAAGAACACAAATTAAAACTATTTGTTTGCAAATTGAAGGCGATAATATATTGTTGAATGTTACATGGACGAATGTTACAAGGATTTTTTTGGTGTTTTATATATACAAGTATGTTATGCCCTAGTCAGAAAAATTTATATTTTTTTGGAAAAAATAAATAAATAGATAAAAATCTCAGTCATTTGTTTAAATTTAATAGATAATCATATCAATTATGAGAACTTTCTTTAAAAAAATTCTATAAAAGATTTAAATCAGGAAATTTTAATCATGAGCCAATTTTAGCTCATGCTAACTAATCATTTATCTCAGTGTCAAATAACATGTGCCATATCATTTTATACATTTATCTCAGTGTCAAATATCATGTGTCAAATTAAAATTGATACGCAAATAAAACCTAATCATCAGCCACTAATGGCTTCACTGAACCTGTAATTAATTTTTTCACAATAATTGATTTTTTTATAACTGACATTTCCTTATACTTTGATTATTCATACTCCATTTTTATGAGAAATTAATCATAAAATAAAAATAAAACTATTCAAAACTTATAATCACTTAAATCATTCTAACCATGGTTGGTCACACAATAAATAAAATATATGCTACCTCAAAGAATTGAACATTCCTAAAGTTTGGAAACTTATTGAAATCCGGATTGTCACAATTTACTTGAGATTGAATAGTGCGGCCATTAGATCCAAATGGATTGGGATAGAGATTCTCAAGATCATTAGCTCTGTAGAGTCTAACATGTTTTTCACCAGAAAATACAATTAAAAAATTGTCATCAGGATCAAAGTGACAAAATTCATAATGTCCTTTTCTAGCAAGCCACAAAAAAGGTCCCCCATGCAACTTTTTTACATAGGAAGGAATACAGATATCATTTGCTAACTCAGGTAAAGCAATTTTTATGTTTTGCACAGCTAAATAAGAAGATTGCGCCTTTTTATTATTGGCTTCAATATTTTCAACATATTCATTAAATGTCATTGATTCTATATTGTACTTTTTTCCAACTTTATAATCTTCTTGGGATGTATTTCGACGCACGAATACTTTATTGTGTCCTGCTTTTGCTTTAATGCTTGATAATGTCCATTTCATAGCGGGCCATTCTTTTATATAGTTTTCTATAATAACAGGAGTCTCACTATTCAAATAATAATTTTCAAACTCTTCAACAGACAGCAAACTCACTCGTTTGATTTCCTTTGCATTTTTGTTCATGTCTTATTTTCTGAAAAATTATTTTTAAAATTAAGAATATTTATAAAAACAAAAGTATTTTTATAATTAAGATTATTTATGTGCAAATCATTTTGCACAGCATATAATTTAAAACATTACAAAAATCACACAACATCAACCAATTATAAAACAAGATGATTAAATATTGGTTTGATGTGTCATGATGACAACAGTTATGCAATCATGATGATTCACACAAGATGAAAATAAATCTGCATTAGTTATGCAATAAAATAAATCTGCATTAGTTATGCAACAAAATCATGTAACTAATGCGGTAGTGGTGTAGTGGTAGAGCGCTTGCTTCATAAACGAGTGGTTCCGAGTTCGATCCCCACCACGTCCCAGGTAGTACCGCGCTCAACTCGTTTCTCCGCGCAGCGGCCTTGTTCGTCAAGGTTCGTGTTTCCGAGTTAGAGAGTTGAGAGAGGGTTATAACCACAAATAAGTAGCCTCCTCGTCTGTAGTGGCCTTCTTGGCCTTGAGGAGGTGAATTAAAAAAAAAAAAACTAATGATAAAATGCTAGTTACATAATTTAAAAAAAACAAATAAACTATAAAACAAATAAATAAATATAATAAATAGTATAAAAAAAACTAGAAAAAAGAGAATTTAAGTTTAAGTGGATATTTGTATACTTGTTAACTTTATTGTAGTTGTCATCATGTTATTTAACTTATCATTGTTATATTGTTCTGTTATATACCTTTTTTGTTGTACAAATAAAAAAAATAGTTTTCGATGCAAATTAAATTACTTCAATTATTTTAAAAATAATTTAAAAAAAAATGTGACAACTTAAGCAGCTGTTTTTTCTGTTAATTATGATTAAAATACTATTTCATAAATTAATGTTAAGTAAAAAATCTTCAGTGTCTTCTTCATAAACAGTAACTGGTATTTGATCAACTACCTTCATGTTTCTGTAGTTTAACTCATTTTTTTGATCTTCTTCACTCAACTTCTCTCCTTTGACCATCTTGTAATAAAAATATTCAAAGCTGTCGCCAAATGATTTACACAATACTGACCAATTTAATAATGATTTGCCATATAATGGTTTACGAAAATGTGGCTGTGAAAATGTAATTGAAATGAACTTTCCACCATTCTTTAAAATAGAACTGATCTGTAACATTAAATATAAAAGCAAGGATGCAATTTAAAAATTGATAATACAAATCAATAATAAAAAAAACACAGACCAATAATACAAAAAATATAGACTAACAATATAAACTTCCAGAACAATTTTATCTGTTATGTTTTTTGGTGTGTTTACATTTTGTAAACTATTACCTAGAGATCTAAAGTATTTTAACTTCAGCAATTGCTACAATTATTTCTAATGTTTCACCTTTCATCGTGAAATGTAGGTGAAACATTAGTATCACCTACATTTCACCTTTCACCTAATGTTTCAACTACCTTTCACCTAATATTTTATCTACCTTTCGATGTTTCACCTACCTTTCACCTAATGTTTCATCTACCTTCACCTATCGCTTCTTTTTAAACTGCAAAAAAGTGTGATAAGTAAGCTAATTTTTAAATACAATTGTTTGTTTTGTTTTTTTGCACATAAATTTCTGGCCAAAATTTTTCATTTAAGTATTGTTAACAGATTACCACAAAAGTTATCATTTATAAAGACAAAAAATAATTCATAGAGTACCCTTAAAAGTATTTTAAGAACATATTTTAAGGAAATAAATAATTATTAAACAAATAAAACATAACATTTAAAAAATAATAATTTATATTTTCTTTTTTTTACTGGTAAATTTAACTTTTTAAATACATTTTTAACTAAAACAATTTTTATACAAAGTTTTCATATTATAGTAAAATTTTAAATTTCTTAGATCAATATTATAAGAAAATGCATTGATAATACATCACAATTTAGAATTTTGCTGTAAATAGTACTACTATATTCTGTAGACTTAATTTTGGATTAAGACCCAGGTCTTTAAGTAGCATAACAAAACTTCATTTGAAAAAAATTTTTATTTCAATTTTCGAAATTTTAAAAACTGAGTTTTAGAGCTGTACCCTCTTTAGGATATAATAGAATGAGTTGCCTAGTCATAAAAACAGAAACACAAGCAAAACATCCTAAACTGGAAGCAACATATTATAAATACATATATGCCAACCTAATAGATAAAGAAGGAGTGCAAGGATGATTAACAGATAGAATCTGTTTACCCGTTTAGTCTTTACTTAGGAGGCCTTTTACAAGACAGTAGCAGGATGCATTTAATGTTTGCCCAAAATAAGTATTTTTATAGACACCATCTCTAGCCTTAACTCAACCGTGAGCCCCAAAGAAGGGGATGTTTTAAGTCGGAGTTAGCTTCTCCAAAAGTCAGAGTTGGCTACTCCTATTGTATATATGATTTCCATAAGAGTCAGTAGTAAAAAATAATCCTAGAAAACACAAAGATAATGACTCAGAGGATTGCCATTCATCAATATAGGAATGTTGATAGTATTGCCATAGTTGTTTACAGTAAATAACTAAGTTTTGTTGGAGTTAAAATTAATAAATCACTGCAAGTCTTAATCTCTAACAAAAGTGAGATCAGCATCAAGATTGGTTGCCTGTTTTAAGCAATCAAAAAGAGAATACTTTTTGTCGAGACAGGAGTATAAAGCATCATCAGCAAATGGAGCCACTTTAGATTTAGCCACTTTACACTTTACTTGTCAAGAAGATCAAGACAAAAGATGTAGATTATGGTTGTCAGGAGGGTCATTAATGTGGATGAGAAACAAAAGAGGACTAAGAATACAACTTTGAGATACCCCAAGTTATTGGAAATGAAGAAGAGTGTTGGCCTTTGAGGAAAAAACTTTCCCAGATATACCATAAAATGCAAGCTTGTAAAGAAGTCCAGCATGTTAAACTTTGTCAAAAGCTTTAGATAAGTCAAAAGACGTAGCCCTAGCCTTGTCGTTTCCAAAGCACAATAAAATTTTTCAGTAACAGCAGTTAGCAGGTATTGATTGCCTGACAGTAAGATGGGATGCTAGAATTTTTTCAGTAACAGCAATTAGCAAGTATTGATTGCCTGACTCAGGATGGGATGTCAGAAATTTGTTGATCAAAGACTCAAAGACCTTGCTAATAACAGATAGAAGACTGATTGAACAATAGTTGGAGGAGTCAAAATGTTCTTAAAAATTATTTTAAATTGTAACCACAGATGCCATTTTCTAGGAGGCAGGAAAATAAGATTCAGTCAAGCACTCAGTAAATAATTTAGAGAAAATTTCCTGTCATAGTCTTACCAAAGAGTACTGGAGAACACTTTGGTAAGACTATGACAGGAATGTGGTTTGGACCACAAGCCATAGAAGAGTTTAATTGAGATATGACTTTAGTAACAGAAACTGGAGTGATTTAAATGTCATCTTACAATTGGTTAACCTGTTTAATTGGAATGAAAGGAAGAGAATGGCCATAAGATTTGAGAGTCAAATTAGAAGAGAACTTCTTTGCAAATAGTTCAGCCTTGTCCGCGGGAGAGGTAATAAGATCAGTCCCATAAATGATATGGAATGTTAATCCTTCCTTTGTTAACAACGCTGTTGAAGATTTTCAAAATTCTCTAGAGTCTAACTTCTGAGATAAGATATGAGATTTCTGAGATAAGATATGAGATTTCTGAGTTCCCAGTCAGCTTTAGAGTAGTAGTAAGTAGTGCAATGATAGGGTGAGTTCAAAGAAGAAGTATAGGATGACTTATAGAGATCATTGCATGACTTATAGAGATATAGAGATCTTATAACTTATAGAGATATAGAGACTTATAGACTTATATAGATAATTGCATGGTCAACCATGGCCAATCACAGTTGGCCATGGAGAAAAAGGAGAAACTGAATACAAGCTAGGATCAGAGAAAAGACACAAATCAAGAAGTAAAGGTAAGCGATTAAGGTTTAATGGAAAACGAGTCACAAAGTTAATTATCAGAGTAAGAGATTGAGAAATTGCAGAAGTTTTGGGCTTTAATACCAGTAGAGTCAGTGGTGTTAGAGCCAAATCATTCAGTGCAATGAGCATTAAATTCACCAATAACAATAATATTGGTCAATTTGATCAGAAATTACATTTAAAAGAATACAATCTTGATAAGAAGGAGAATGATAAAGAACAAAGAGAAAGGTGAGAGAGTGAAGCACATAAAAGCAAGGTCAAGAAATCAAACTTAATTTAACAGCAAATAGGTGAATTGATGCGTATGTATGCCCAAGCCAAGCATGTGACTATTGAAGTCTTTGCAAATCAAAGGACTGGTACTAAAGCACCTATCAACACTGAGATCTGAAGAAAGAATAGCAGAATTTAAATTAGTCTCACTACGAGCAAGCAAATCTGGTGAATTTTGGAAAAGGTAAGATTGGTGAATTTTAGCAATAAGTATAAACTCCATCAACTCATGGAAGGTTACTTTAAAGACCATGAATATTTATGAAAGATATATTGAAACAATTAGGTGGTAGGGATGGTTTTTTATGTTTAATATTTTGGGTTAATTTAGGTATGGTTTAAGTATAAAAAGAGCTTGACAGATTCATAGATAAAGCAAGGTATCCCAAGCAATGAGCTGTCCAGCTGTCTCAATTCTGTTAATTAGCCCATAAAATGTAACGTAGGACTTCTTATGTGGCATGGACAATGCATACCAAAAGCATTAATAGGAACACCATCCATGCGCAATATGGCACTGTTAAAACTCTAAGATTTTACAGTTATTGAAGGAGACAGCCTCTCTGAGAGCTAACAAAGAGTTAGAGAAACCTTACTACCAGGCAGCCTCAGAACCATTAAACTGAGTTTTATAGCTGTACCCTCATTAGCAGATAACAGGAAGAATTGCATAGCCACTATCAAGAAAAGACAAGCAAAAACCTATGAGTAAAGTTAAGAAGATCCAGCATTCAACATATGGGCAGGAAACAATGTAACAGAGTTT